AAAATTCCTCGTTTAGGATTAAAATTTCCGTATTTCTCCTCACTACAACTCAATGCCAGAGCAATCAATTTAGATTTTCTCTTGTGTAAGTTGAACAAATTTATGTTTAATATAACTCAGTTTATTCGACCCAATATTTACCTAATGCTCTCAGACACTCAAAAGATTACTTTCATAAAAGAGCGTTATGTCTCTACATAAAATTGAATAAAATATCGCTAGCTTAGAGTGAAATGTTGCTAAGTCCACTTTTTATGAACAACTAGTTTTTGGTGCAGGAAGCAAGGAAAATTGAAAATGCACCGTTTCTGAAAGGATCTAACTACTTGTTTTATTTCTACCCGTTTTATTCCGTGACGTGCAAAATTGCTCAGTCCAAAGTAGTCACAGAAAATTTGATAATTCCAAAAAAATATGAATATTTTTTTACGCTATCGAATTCGATTTGTATTGAGGGTTGAGCAACAACATTATTTTTGAATATTTATGCCCATATGTATGTATGTATATTAGGCTGGGTCGATTTTGTATGGAGGAAAATAAAATGCATTTCACCGTATTGTAACAGTAATATTATGATGCTTTAGGTCTAAGCCAATTGTTATTGGCCAAGAAAGATTAATTTAAAACTTATCTTTAGCCCGCGCAATTGAATCAAAGTGTTAATTGTTATAAACAGAACGATATATCAAATTAAAGGTTATTAAATTTAGTACCTCACGTTCATTTATCATTTTTCAATAAGCCTACAAATTTTTAAGATATTAAAATAAAAAATAAGAAAACTATAATTTTCCCTTATGAATTTTCAATTCTTATTACTTCAGCAACCAAGTGAAAAATACAAAAAAGTGAGACGAGATTTATTTCAAACGTTTTAATGCTTTCGGATGTTTATATAATATTAAAAGGACCGTGGACTTGGTCACGCCGATTTGGTCAGTTTTCAAGATCGTGGTCAATGAAGTCAAACATTGATTAGGAATCGTTTGATAAGTTAATAGTAGTTGCAAGCATAAATATAAGTATTTGCAAACATTAACATAATATATTAGGGCGAGAAACGCCCATTTTAAGCCAATTTTTCGTGGTTTCTAAATTTGCCGTTATATGAAAGTAGGGGACGTGCAAAAATTGTTTGCATAAATACGTTAGTTAATTCCATTATGTGAAAAAGTAACTGTAGGTAGGTAAATGCGATAGTCTTTAACATATCCTGGAAAATCCTTTTCAGGTCTCTCCACTTGGACGATATTGCTTTGCATTCAGCTTGAACGAAAAAAGCACTCCCTGGCATACTTTTCTGTAATCCGGTTCTTTCATTTAAATGTTATTTATAAAATTGAAGAATTTTTTTTTTAGAAAAAAACTGGAGATCCACTTAAGTTTTTTGATATAGCTTTGGTAAACGTTACTCGATCGGCACGTAATAATTACGAGACTTGCTATATTGCAGATTATAAACAAATTATTTTAAAATAAAAAAAAAATTTAACAAAATTTTTTGTCATTTTCCTATATTTGCATTTTTTATATTGTATGCATAAACATAAGTAAACTAATTAGTGGTGTTGTGCCTGTTCAGTGCTTCCATACTCATTTGCATAAACAACATTTTTCCACGATGATGGAAAATAATGGCTTTTCTATTAGAGCTACCGAAATTGTTCCTAAATTTGCAAAAATTCGCAAACTATAGCTAACATTAAAAAAAGATTAGAATATTTGGAACCAGCGACTAGCACGCCAGCAATATTAATGCTGTTCTTTACATCTTTTGACTATAGGCCAGTGCAATTATCAAGAGAACAATTAAAATTTTATTGAAAAGAGGTAACTTAGAGATTAACGATAAGCTAAAGGGCTGCGAGAAATGATATTTGACAGCAGATTTTTTATTATTTTTATTTTAATAAAGGGTAAATGAAAAACGCGAAACATTGCATTCAAAGTTTTGCATAATACTTAAAGAAAATTACTTACGAACGTTTTTTGTGTCTCCTGTACAATTGAAAAAAATGGACTTAGCAACTTTGCACTCTAAGCTAGCGATATATTAATTTTATTTTTACATTTCCAATCCGAATTTATGCTTCGAACTCCGCGATGCAACTTTCCATCGTTAGACCTAATCTTCAAATTTTTTTACGAGTTTTCGGAATATGATAGAAATGTAACAGAAGGGGGTCACCGATACCAAAATCTTGAAAGTTGTCTACGAGAAAAAAGTTCGGGAAGCTCTGGTGGGGGCTCACCCATCCCCATCCCATACCACGCCCATCTCCCATATAACGGTATTTTCGAAAGATGCAAAAACTACGATACATCCGTAAATTCTGTATCCAAACTGTTGAAAAACTCTTGGCATAAAAGTAGATACCACCGCACAACAGCGTTTCTGATGATTATGTTACATAATACGAGCCTAATTTTTAATGACGATCAAATCTGTGATTCGAATTACTGTATCAGTTCTAGAAAAACTGGAACGTTGGCCTTTTTACAATAAAACACAGCATATTTATAGTTAATCTAATTTTATTAAGATCTTACGTTCAAAAAACTTTCTTTTATAAGGAGTTGTAGAATTTGAAGGCAGAGAGCTGTTCTGAATGCTCCAACAATAGTCAGCCATCATGTGGGCGTTCCAGTGGCCTTGATAGCGTTCCTCCATCGTACGAAAGGGGAAAACTATAACTCGCAAACAACAGCTGCTAGAAGACAAGTGAGGGTATATTTAGACAGGGTGTTCATATTATTTAAAGAAAGGAGCCATTTCTGAAAAAAATCGCCAAATCTTTTTAAATAAAATTCATGAATTCGGTCTAAAAAATCTTTTATTTTAACAAGTAATTTTTAGCCGACTTAAAAAAAAATATATATATATTTAATTCATGATCCAATGGTCGGATCTAAACCAGATTATTATGGGACCACCTCTGAGACCCAACCTTTCCGATGCAAAAAGGATTATCGAAATCGGTTGACGTGGTCCAAAGTTATGCGGTAACATACATAAAAAAAAATATTCCGACGCACTGATAACCTCCTCCTTTTTTGCAAGTCGATTAAAAATGAGATCTTTTTATAACATAGTTTTTGAAACCAAAAACGAGTAGAATGCCTAATAATGAATAACAGAAATCACTTATATGATAGTGATGGGCAAACAATTTTCTTTGAAAATATTCATACTTTTAAACAAATGTTTGTATTTAAGGCCTGTATGCAGCTCTCAAGAAAAGCAAAAACTCCATATAAAATGACGTACAAGAAATGGCTAAGAAATTTTCTTGAGTCAAATTTCCTTAAGGCAGTACGCAGTTCTTAAGAAATTTACTACGCTTTCTACTGCGGTTTTCTAAAGTTTTTTGTGAAAAAAGAGCACAAGGCAACCCGGGTTTGCAACAGAAATATATGCCCGTTCCATTATTTCTTGAGGAAAGAGTGAGGCAACAGGCTGTGAAGTATCAAAAATGTCAAAATTCCTTGGGCAGCACGCGAAATAATAGCAATTTTTTCTTGACCGTTTTCTTGAGAGCTGCATACAGGGCTTAACACATATCCCAATAGGACTGAGCGATTAATAAATTTATTATAACCATATATGTAATACTCCTATATTGGCAGTAAGAGCTAGTACCGTCCGAAAACACTGCAGTACAGATATATCAATAAACACGTACGAAAGAAAAGGAACACATATGTACGTTTATAAATAAACATGTACACAACACATATACAAAAACGGCACTCAAGTACACAATACATTGACAAAAACGGTACTACACTGTCTCGCTTTGATTTCGGAATGCTTACACGTTGAGAAGTTAGCTTACTGCCAATATAGAAGTATTACATATATGATTATAACTCATATTAATTGATTAATCGCACAATTCGCTTTTAAGCGTTCGGCGCTAAAGATAAAATAAAAGTTATAATAAGGCGTGATCTGCTATTTCTACAAATGAAATTGCAAATTTCACATTCAGCGGGAGTTGTCACAAATGGTGGTTTAATATTGACAAATGTTCGATATGCTACTACAAAATCTATAACAATAAAAAGTGTTGCCACATCAAAATTAAAGCTCTAACTCCATAACCTAATTATCGCGAGTTTCGACGCATTTACATCATAGCGCACAAAAAATTTAATTGAAGAGAAAAACTCGCCAAAAATCGCTAAAGGTGATTTCCTGAATTTTTACGGGTAAATGCCCAAAAAAAATCGCCAAATTGGCGCTAAATCGCCCAATATGGACACTCTGTATTTAGAATCAGAAACGTCAAATTAATAAAATTCGTAATTACCTATTAATTTTTTGGAAAATGGGTGTCGCCCCGCCCACTTATGATAAATTGATATGTCTCAGTAGTCCCCACCAAACTCGGTACAAACATGGATTAGAGACTACCTACGAAATTTTTGGAAATTGGTTTATTTAAATTGGCTAATAGCCAATCCACCTGCCATATGTACATATAACGGTAATTTACAGAAATACGAAAACTGCGATAAATCAGTACTGAAGCTAATTCACTCAAAATCGATGTTTGTAATCCAGTCGTAGCACTAGTGGAGACTATTTAAATTTTTTAGTAAATAAGCGTGGCGTCGCCCACTCTGGATCTAAGTGTGCCATATGTGTATCTGGGTAAGCGATTTATCAATTTCTACCAAACTCGGTACAGTAATTTCCCTTGGTAGAAAAAAACAATGTGTTGAAAATTACAAAAAAAAATCAGACTAAAATTACACCCACTTTTCATATAGCTAGACTACGCATGTTTATGCAGAAAACGAGACCTAAAAATATGTACCCCATAACTATGTATAAACAAAATGTATTCAAATTTATTTATTTTTCCTATAGTTAGGTGGTACATATTTTTAGGCTTCGTTTTCTGCTTAAACAGTCTACATATAACGGAAAATTTCATAAATGCGAAGCTCCTAAATTTCAATAACTAAAGACTATAACTAAAGACGTGGATTGTTGTTTAAATGTCATTTAGCTTTCGTTGGCTCTCAGATCAACTTTGTTCAAATATGACAAACAATTGGCAGCACTGCTGCTTTTTCCTTGAANCTCTGCGTTGGAAAGACCAGGTGGAGAAGGACTTGGCTTCACTTGGCATTTTCAATTGGCGTCAGTTAGCACAGAAGAGAAATGACTGGCGTGCTGTTTTGGACTCGGCCAAAATCGCTTAGGCGGTTACAGCGCCAAATAAGAAGAAGAAGAAGAAAGAAAACTATATTTAATACGGCTTGTTTTAAACTAATCTTTATATAAATTAAAATATAGTTCATTCTCAGACANAAACAATTGGCAGCACTGCTGCTTTTTCCTTGAAATTGTTTGCTTATTTGTTTACATTTTGTGCTGAACAGCTAATGGTTTTTTGGTGGGATTTGGTGGGATTGATTAAACAACCTACCAATCTATCTTGGTTGTTGGTACAAAGACAGGATTGCATATCTCACATTTAAATAGCCAATATTAAGTGCAGATTAAATGTATGATCTGAAAATTAATAGTGGAAGTTAATCAACTTCTACTTAAGTAAGCCATCTGAAATCGGGCCTATGTCTAACTGAGTATATTATCGAAAATATTTGAAATCGGTAAAAACGCCCCTGCTAACCACGCAAAGGTGTTTTACAGANGAAGAAGAAAGAAAACTATATTTAATACGGCTTGTTTTAAACTAATCTTTATATAAATTAAAATATAGTTCATTCTCAGACAAACCCCATATAAACCCAAGTTTAACAATGTGTAGAAAACTACAAAAAAGTGCAACAAATTTTCACCTAAATTTTTTTGAGTACACAGTTTTTTAGCCTCTTCAATTTTAGTCTAATAAAGTGCAAGTTTCAAGTGGCTAAAAGTTTCCGTTGATTTTTTAGAATTTTTTTCGGATTTCTTCCATATACAAATAAATTGAGTTTATTCATAAAAATCGTCAAATCGTTATTAAAACAACAGATTTGTAAAATAATAGCTAGAAAATATACCGCTTATCAAGGCAATGCCTTCACAGAACAAACCGTTTTTTCGCTCTCCTGTAAAAATTTGAGTGCCGTAAGATAGGCGGCTTCGCAATTGGTCGATGGGCGGTTTTGCAAAAACATCGACGAATTATTTTGTGTTTTTAAGTGAATCTATTATTGCACCATGGTAAGTACGGCTGAATATTTCCTGAATGTCATCAATTTTTTTATGCAAAAACACTAAAAATAAACATTAAATGAGTTTCAAAGTGATATGCAAATGTAAAAAAAGCACGTTAAAAATCAGTACAATGCTTAACGGTTAAGCCCTGTATGCAGCTCTCAAGAAAACGGTCAAGAAAAAATTTCCATTATTTCGCGTGTGTGTCCAAGGAATTTTGACATTTTTGATACCTCACAGCCTGTTGCCTCACTCTTTCCTTAAGAAATAATGGAACGGGCATATATTTCTGTTGCAAACCTGGGTTGCCTTGTGCTCTTTTTTCACAAAAAACTTTAGAAAACCGTAGTAGAAAGCGTAGTAAATTTCTTAAGAACTGCGTACTGCCTTAAGGAAATTTGACTCAAGGAAATTTCTTAGCCATTTCTTGTACGTCATTTTATATGGAGTTTTTGCTTTTCTTGAGAGCTGCATACAGGCCTTTAGTATATTTTTTTCTAACAGTTTCTAAACTTATTTAATCCTTTAGCTTACTTTTATAAAAAGTGACATTCTGGAAAATATTTTATATAAATGCATAAATGAGAAAAAATAATAAGTTTCGAAGAGCCTGAAAGCAATTGCGTATTGTGCACAAATTCTCACGTCAGTAAGCGATTTCAGAAGATAAATCTTACTAATATTATAAATGTGAAAGTTTGTATGTTTGGATGTTTGGGAAATCATCACGCGGAAACGACTGAAAGGATTTGCATAAAGTTTTGTAGGCAGATAGCTTATGGGCCAGATTGGTTAATAGGCTATTTTTTTAAGAGTTGCCACCTGGTTAAAAGTTTAATTTATTTAATATGCGAGAACGACTGAATGGATTTGCATGAAAATTTGCACACAGATAGGATATGACCTAGGTTGGAAAATAGGCTACTTTTCTTAAGAGTTGCCACCTGTTAAAAAAGTTTCATTAAATTAATACGCGGAAACGACTGAATGGATTTGCATGAAATTTTGCAAGCATATAGCTTATGACCTACAGTGAGAAATTTTTTGGAAGAGTTGCCACCTGTTAAAAAAGTTTAATTAAATTAATACGCGGAAACGACTAAACGGATTTGCATGAAATTTTGCACACAGATAGCTTATGACCTACGTTAGAAAGTAGGCTACTGTTTTTAAGAGTTGCCACCTGTTAGAAATGTTTAATTTAATTAATACGCGAAAAAGTCTGAACGGATTTGCATGAAATTTTGCAAGCAGATAGCTTATGACCTACAGTGGAAAATAGGCTAATTTTTTGGAAGACTTGCCTCCTGTTAAAAAAGTTTTTATTAAACTAATACGCGGAAACAACTGAACAGATTTGCATGCCATTTCGCACAGAGATAGCTTATGACCTACGTTGGAAAATAGGCTACTATTTTAAGAGTTATCACGTATTAGAAAGGTTAATTAAATTAATACGCGTAAATGACGGAGCTTATGACCTAGACTGGAAAATAGGCTACTATTTTAAGAGTTATCACGTATTAGAAAGGTTAATTAAATTAATACGCGTAAATGACGGAGCTTATGACCTAGACTGGAAAATAGGCTACTTTTTTAAGAATTGCCAGCTGTTTGATAATGAAATTTTGCTCAAAGATGGTTTATGACCTGGATTGAAAAATAGGCTACTTCCTTAACCGGCTTTCCGATCAGAACGTTAAGTACGCTTACTACGGATTTCGGAAGGATGGTCTTAAACTGAAAGTAAGTCCGGTAATTCAAGGCCCCTTCCATACAAATTGGAATTTTCATATTACATACATATATCTGGAAGTATTTGTGGGGGAGAACTGAAACTTGGTATAGTGATATGTATGCGAAATCCATGTTGGAATTAATCGATTGATGTTTTAATCAGTTAGTTAATTCGATTAAATTCAATCTGATCACAGTTAATCATGATTAATTTTAATCTGACTAAACAGTTAATCGTAACCGCGGTTAAAAAATTAATTTTTAATCATTTACTCTTAATTTGATCAAATAGGTTTGGTGATTAATTAAGTTATGCAGGAATTTCCCTGTGCACACAAACCAAGTTAATCCGGTATGGCTAAGTCGGGTTTTCTCATCAATCTAAGAAATTTGGTGTGCATTTTCATTAAGATATATACCAACAAACGTTTTACAAACTAGGTTTGTAAAAGTTCCCAGTTTATGTATTACTAATAACAATAATTATAATTTTTTTATATTATGTGCTTTTTATAAGCGTAAAACACAAAATGTTTACTATAACTGGTGTTTGGTTTCAAACTCGGGCAAACTAGACAAATTAATCAGATTTCATTTTTAATTGGATTAACGATTAATGCTTTAAATTAATTAAACGTAATCGCAGCCAGCGATTAACGATTAAAAAAATGTTATCATTAATCGTACAGTTCATTACGACTAATTAATTTTAATCGTCGAACGCGATTAACATTTTTCGTATTTTTATCGTTAATCAGATTAACAGTTTGCCAACACTGTGTGAAATCATGTTCATATTCACGGAGAAGACTGAAAGTTTCATATTGCATATCTCTTCAAATGTTTGGGGTAAAGCTTGGTATGGAAATACATATGTATGCATGTATGTATGTGAAACTAATACCATACTCATGGAGAAAAATTAGAGTTATTGGAAAAGGTGGTGTGGCAACTGCCCATGCAAATTCATTTTTCTATGCTGCATATCTCTGGAAGTGTTTATTGCAGAGGACTGGAACTTGGCAACGAGATGTGTATACAAAATTAATTCCATACTCATGGAGACAAGTTTGCGTTATTGAAAAGGGGACATGGTTCCTCCCGTACAAATTTACTGTTTTATACTGCTTATCTCTAGAGGTGTTCATGGTAGAGTACTGGGACTTGGTACTGGGGTACGTAAAATCAATTCTAAATTCATGGAAGAAGATTAGGGTTAGAAAAAGGGGTGTGGCACTTCCAGTACACATTTGCTTTTTCTTGCCACATATCCCTGGAAGTGTTTGTGGAAGAATACTGGAACTTGGTATGGAGTTGTGTATACAAAATGTATCAATTGCTCATGGAAAAAATGTGAGTTATTAAAAAAGAAGACATGTCGCCTCCCATACATACTAAAAACTTCTTAATACATATCTCTGGAAGGATAGAAAATCTCTCGAAGTATTTTAAATTTGTTATGGAGATTTATTTTATAAGTGCCGTACTGACAATAAATTTGCTACAGTAATGAGAAGTGGTATTTTATCAAGGCCAGGTTACTAAATTTGAGTTGGAAATAGTTAAGAACCCGCCGTGGCACCTCCACGCGTCGTATACCTGGAACCATTTTAAGGTAAACTTAGAGAGATTGATATCTTTCGTATGCCTAGCGCGCAGACGAGATTTTATAATTTCATAGTTTTAAACGGCCTAAATACCTTAACTCGCTTAAAAAATAACGAGCTATAACAAAATGGGCACAGAAATAAAATCTAACATCATTAAATTATTTTTCATATTTGTATAAAAGCGCGGGGTGAAACCCGCGGGTAAAAGCTAGTTTACAAATAAAAGTCAGTTGGCAGTCATAAAAATCCCCACCGCTACCCGATTTTTGACGTCAAATATTTTTAGTTCTTTTTATTTAAATGAATTTTATATCTCCTGTTTTCATTATGCGGCCTTCCGTTTTATCTTTGAACCGGGGTTTCGGTTCGGGCATTTAAATAAACATACATACATACATATTGTATATACGTACATAAGTATTTATATATGTAGATTAGGGTGGTCCAAAAAAGTTTAAAATATTAAGCTCATCCTCTAGGACTTTTCTAAATGGAATAAAAAAATGAGAAAAAACTCGGAAAGCTCTGTTTCTCTTCTGAAGACTTCCAAAAATAATATCCAACAGT